AGGCACTCAGCGTTTTACCAAACGACATGCCGTTTTCATTGCACTAGAATGAAATAATTACACTTAGATTAACTTCAAAAATAATAAAAAATAAAGTGTCATGTGAATGAATGAGTATATTGTAAGAATAAAACAGAATATTTCTGAATGTATTGCTCACTAAAATATATATTTTTACTACTTAATATTTTTGTGTTATTACCAAGAGTATTTAAAAATATATTTTTACTACTTAATATTTTTATGTTATTACAAAGAGTATTACTCATTTTATATGGTATTTTTGTGGTTTTACCTTTTCTTTTTCTTTTTTTCCTCATTTCCTCTTAACAATTTCTTATTTGACAAATTTAAAACATAGAAAATTATTAAATATATATATCAATAAGTAAGATATATGTACACACATTTCTGTCAACTTTTATTAACATTATTAAGAATTTAGCCGCTATCTACTAACTATGACATCATGTTGGTATTTAATGTTTAAAATCTTAAACTTATAAGAAAAGTGGGCTAATTTCATTTTCTTTTCCTTTCTTGTAATGCCCATTTAACAATTTTGGCTTAAATTTAATTGTTGAAGTTTGTCAATATGCAATGCAATTCACATAAGATACACTCCAAATTATTATTAGACATTTCTTTCACATTTATAAACTCATTCCGTTCCATAAACATAATAAATTGTACTATCATCTTTATGAGAATAATCCAAATATTTTATATGTAATTTATGTCTTATTATCTTTATGATACAAGTTCAATGTTCAATAATTCAAATGAAACCATTCATATGATAATATAAATGTTTAGCAATTACAATGTAGGTGTATACATATACAAATGTGAAGTGAGATGTTATTAACTACATTCATATGAAGAAAGTTCTCCTACTGTGTCAGGTAAACCTTCACTTAAGCAATCAAGTGGAGGTATAGTAACAGTTTCTTGAGTTCCATAAGCATTCCAACAAAAAGGGTCATCTAGTAATACCCCTTCATATGGCCAAAGCTCAACCTCAGATATTGTTATGTTTGTGCAAGCAACAGTGTCACTACAAGCAAAATGTATTGGTGGTGTTCTAACATCATAAGTACCTTTTATGTTCTTAAATGACACATCATTTACATGTACACCTGATGTTTGGTTAGTACACTCCTTAGATAAGCAATAGTATTGGTCTATAATGATGCAGTTCCTAACATTTTCCATTTGGATGTTCTCAAATTTCAACCTTGTTACTGACCCTGTACCTCCTTGCCATGTCTTGATCCTTAGTCCATTGTCTGATTCTCTAATGTTTGTGTCCCGGACAGTTAAGTTAGACACACATGCCTGTGAATTGTGCACTCCTAAGCTTCCAATGCTGTGTACAAATCACAATAATATGCTTTTACTGGCCCATGCTGAACTTAGCATTATACAAATTAATTAACTTATATGGTGGGGAAAATGAAAATTAAATGTACAAGTTGTTGTGATATTAATGGTTGGCAACTTTAACCGTTCCAACTGCACAACTTTTTTCAAGAACTTTTTGCTGAAGATGAGTTGGAATCTCATGGAGACACCTTGAAGAGTTATGACATTGATACTAGTGGTTAAAGTCACCAATTTTTCATTCATTTTTTCTTTAGAAATTGTTCTAGAATCACATCAGGGATGAATGTATTAAGGGCATGTTTGAGTAAGCAAATTAATCAAACACTTTTCAAAAACCAAGCAAATATGAAAGACTTAGTAATGTACCTAATCCCATGGCTAGGACTTAGTAAACAAATTAATCAAGCATCAACATAGTTTTTTGTTTGGATCATACTACTCATCAATTAATATTACCAACTTTGGTTCAGAGAGACTTAGTAATGTACCTAATCCCATGGCTAGGACCACAAGTCACACCCTTTATGTCCACATCTGAGCACCCTGGTCCAATTGAAATGCAATCATCACCTGTTCATTAATCATATTCAGATCTTCTAAACTATTCACCTTACACATATCAATAAATATAGAACTAATCAAAGTGTCACATTGAAACATTAACAAAATAAACTTTAGTCATTACCATTGCTTATGATGGTGTTATATATCCCTACACCCTTTGTGTTTCCAAGGTGGATTCCATCAGTATTGGGGCTGAGTTTAGGAGAATAAAGTGATAACTCTTCAATTAGTACTCCTTGGCACCCATCAAATTTTACATGGAACTGAGGACTGTTCTGAATTCTAAGCCCTTTCAAAACCAGATTAGAGCTCATGAAGAACCTTATCATCTATAAACCAAAAGAGAAACAATTCTAAGACAGTTAAAAGGAAGAAAAAAAAACAATAGAATAGTTATCTAATGGTAGAGTTGAAATCTGAATAGTTCACTCACTGTTGGGCTATCACATGGTCCTGTAACAGTTTTTCCATTGGGAGCCTGAAATACCATTATTTACAACCATTTAGTGTGATTTCATTCAAGGTGAAAGTTAATAAGGAAATGATTACCCTATGAGGTTTGCAAGGGAGATTCCACCATTGTTCTCCATTGCCTTCTATTGTTCCATTTCCATTAAGAGTCATTTGATCCACTTTATAAAACACAAGCCATTGGTTTTGGCTATCTTTTTCAGGCCAGGAATCTGGTCCTTTTGGTGGCATGAGAGTACCATCCACCTGTGTACATTTGAACCAAGTAAGTGACATATATATATATAGTAAACCATCAATTCAATCCTCAAAGGACCTATGATATTGCCATAATTAAATTCTTAAAAGACTCAAAACAATGTTAAACTGAATAATTTTTTTGTAACTAAAGTAAGTCCTAATATGATAACCTTTTGAACCTAAGGACTTGTATAATGACAACATAATCATTCAAGGAATGAATTGAGTGTTAGGAAATTCAAAAAGCATTCTTACTTGAAATACTAATCCTGGGTTGCATGGACCTGAAAAGATAGTTGAAGTGATCATAAAACAGTAGTTTTGAGGAGCTAGAATAACAGCATTATCCACAGAACAAGCTGCTTTCCATGCTGCCCTGAATGCAGATGTGTCATCAGTTGAACCATCACCAACTGCTCCAAAGGATGTTACATCAAAAACACAGTTTGAAGAAGAGTCACAATGATCATTTGGATATGGATCAGATGGAACAGTAGGAGTATTGGAAGGGAGTGAAGAAGGGTCCTCTGGGTTATAGGGATTACCAAGAGGCTCAGGAGATGTTGAAATTTTCTTATGAATCTTGTGAGAATGGTATCTTCCTTCCACATTGTCCATATTGTGAATGAAAAGTATCACAGAAATCCATAGTATAAAAAACACATGAGTGAGACACATTATGTTTAAGTGAACAATGTTTTGTACCAATGTGGAGTTACAAATTGTTCCTTAGATGATATCTGTAGATAGTGAAAAAACTTAGGCTTCAGAAATCTTTTTGATTAAGATAAATAGATGAGATTAAAGTAGAAGGAGAATGATTATGGTCTAATATCTAGAAGATTCAAAGCAAATTGGTCTAGTAAGGACTATGATGAAGGAAAGGTTCTTTTTTATACTCAACATAGATGATGGTAAAGGAATAAATTATATAGCACAAGGTTGATACGTGTGAATTCCTGGTTGATTAAAACATACGTGTGAATTTCTCTGTTCTCCAATGACACATTATATTTCATTTTCTCCTTTTTTGTTCCAATTATGTTGATCCATTTCTCTTCTATTTAAACTCTAAAAGCTTAATGAATCACATGGAATACATTGACTAAAAACACTAACATTAAGGTAGTATCCTTAGTTTCAAGTACTTGAATTGTGGCAACTAATTACTTAAAATGTTAATTTCCTCTATGCATATAATTTTGAACTGGACAATATATAATCTACTGTTTAACAAAAGTTAACATTTTCAATCAAAACTAGACACATGTTACTGGCCAAGAAAATGAACAAAATAGTTCTAAAATTTTGTACTTGAGCAGATTTTGTCCAGTTATATAACATCTGTCTTTGTGGGTTTTACCTGAGATGAGGCCAAATCAACACATGCAGCTATTTAAAATTCAACAGTATGTAATATATTGCATGTGAATTATATATAGCAATAGGTTAGAAGCAGGTAGATCAATTAAGACAAAAGTTAGCACTTAATAAAAGAATATAAAGTTAACTTAAACCATCATGGGAATCGTGCACATATTGCAATGCCACAGTGAAAAGTAAATCACCAGCACCTTGAGACATATATTACTGGTTCATTGCTTCATATATAAGTATCAGCATTATTTATTGATACATATGCCAAGACCCTTGTTGTGTCACACTTCCAACATAATACTAGCTAGGACTATCATTCACATTATAATTTAAATCAATGATGTATATTTGTTTACTAAATTTGTGTTCATATGATCATATACTAATGTGGAGGAGAGGGGGACATGTACATGTTGGTGTGTGTTCACGGGATGGTGTTTCTAGTGCATGTCACGGGCAAATGGAAGTGGATTCACATTAATTATTTGGTTCTAATGTGAGACAGCATATGAATATTAATAGGAATAAAAACAAATAATTTTGGTGTCTGATTCTGTGGACTTGTTAATAATACTATTATTTTAAACTTAATGATTTTGTTTGCATTGGTATGATGATAGTTTAAATTATAATTAAAAACAGCACACAGAGTCTATGGGATGGAACAGATTGAGGAAATAGTCCTACGTAGATCACAGGCATTGGAATTGAGAGGAATACAACACTTGACTAAAAGGTGGTACACTCCGAAGAGATTGAAGCTGTTTGTTGATAACAGCTCCATATTCCCACCAAACAAGTTTTATACTACTACCCCAACTCATAAAAAATAGACTAGAATCAGAATTATGCTAACGCGAGAGGCTGTTATTTTGGTTTATTATCATCAAATTATGCATTTTTTTGCTATAAAAAAATACATCCCTATCATTGTAAGTTGAGTTTTGATGGTTTATTAGAGACGGCCGAAATCTTTTCTTTTCCTTGTTCGGTAAAGATGATCTTTGATACTCAATATTAGATATAAGCTAACAATTTCTTTATATAATTAATGAATCTTTTATAATTGAAAGCAATCAGCTTTTGATACACATTAGTGGCCAGAAAGATTCCTAAGATTCTCAATAAAAAAGTTCGTATATAATTAAAATACTCTTAACAAGTAGAACAAACTAATCGTAACAAATATAGACTAGAATTATGGGGCCCTTCAAAAGAAGGACACCTCCAAAAATAGGGGTATGCCGCTAAATGTGACAAGCACACGGTATTCTTTAGTAAAAGGCGAAAGAATAGTTCGCTTTGTGCTTAACACACCCATGAGTTTCACAATGCTATCTACTTCTTTTTATATTGGAGGGCACACCCTTACTCTCACTGTTATATTCGATGTGGGCTTTGTATTGAACAGATGCAGACAGAAAAGCAAGTAGAAGATCCAATTACCGGACAAGTCTTATAAAGCATGACCAGTAATGCCATTGATCTGGCTAAATTCTACATCATCCACCCTTGCTCCCAAAGAATAATTAATGTGGCTTTATGTTACATGATTGTAATTATTAATAGTTAAGTATATCATAATCCTTCATTTCCATTGGATCAATGAGTAATTTATATAATTATATTATGGCAGTGCCTAAAGAAATCTTAGATGTTGCCAAAAAAAGCTAAGGGGTAGGAAGTATCAAATTCCAAAATGAAAACCTCCTCTTCCAAAGAAGTGATAAAAGGTTTAAGCTTATTGTTGTTTCCTTAATTCTCATCATATCTAAAGTAATATAATTTGGTTTGATAAGGGTCGCTGTTATGCCAACAAGGCAAGTAGTAGAATATTTTTTAAAAGCATTCAGCTCAGGATTCTGTACTAACATTTTAGTCCAAAATAAGATCTAAGTTTAAATGCATTTTGTATTTTACAAGTTTTTTTTGCTTAGTATATATATTTCAGTTTAATAAATCACTTATTTTTTAAAAACTATTTCATAAAACCTCAATTAATGTTGTATAAAACTACAAGTTACTAATATCTACGCAAATAAAGGGTGAGGAGTTGTTCCAACTACAAACCATGAATCTCAAGTTGGAGTCCTTAGAAATATAAGTGTCTATGTAGGGAGTATAGTAATTCTACTTCGCTCGAACAGCCTTCTGATGATGAAGTTATTTCAAAAGTATCAAACATACTTGGATGGCCAAAAGTCTTTGCAGTGTACAAGTATATTATAAAAAAGTCATTTCAGCTGATATAGGACTAGTTAGAATTCTGGAATAAAATCTCCTCTTGTGAAGATATTTACAAACAATCATTTTCTTTTAACCTGCTTTAAAGCATTGTAGTTCTCAATTCATATAAATAGCATGCTATTAAATATATAATTAGCACTACATTAAGACATCATAATAACAGAGGTTAAATAGAGAACCATTGTGATAGTGGAGTTGGAGGGTGAGCCAGGCCCAAGCTTTAGTGCAACGCTTGGACGACACATGAGAGACCCAATAGCAAGCTACTGTAATGGTCTCTCCCCTTTAAAAAAGTAATTTAATATCGTGTGGACCAATGACCCACATATCAGATATTAAACTGATAAGAACAGATACTACACTTGATCTTAGCCAAAAGGCCGAGAAAGGTATGAGTTCATTATTGCCTGCGCTTCTTTTTTATATTGTGTTGCCCCTTGCCGCTTCTTAGTTTGAACAATGTGGGACAAGACAGGAGCACTTGGTGTTGAAAAGTCTTGGCATTCTTCAAATGGGTTGAGTCCACCCCAAATTACAAACTCTTCTTTGATGCAGACAAAGAAACTTAGTGTTCAAATTTTATTTTAAAAGTTTTTTCAAAATTTAAACTCTTTTTCTTCCTTACATTATTTTAAAACAGGTTTTTGACTCTATTCTTAGCTTCTCTCTTCCAATGCTATTAGTAATGAGATAATTTGGAAGAAGGAAATTACTGAAACTTACACAATTAAGTTGAGGTATCGGTAGCTTTTGGATAATATATGCATGGCAATCAGGTGGATGATTGGATGGTATCTCACTACTAACTGTAATCTTTGCATGGATTATATTAAAGATATTTCTCATTGGCTCAGAGATTGTATTAAAGCTTATTGTACGTGGTTTCATTTGCAAGTGTCTGAAGCAACAAATTTCTTTCCTGTAGATCTTCATGACTAGATCAAAGAAATTGGAAACATAAAAAAAATTCTCAATGCACTTTGTCTTATTTGGATAATACGCAATGCTCTAGTGATGGCTAATGAAGGTAATATTGTGTATTGATAAATACTTCTGAGCTTGTAAATGATGTCCAAATGACAACCCAGACTAGGGCTCAAACTTCCACATGGGTTCCAATACAAGTTATTCAGATCTTTACACCAAATGGCCTCATCAAACTTAACATTGATGAAAGTTGTTTGGGAAATGGAGTAGAATTGGTTTTGAGGAGCTCATTGAGTGTGTAAGGGCCTTGGATTAATGACTTCTCTAGCTATGTGAGATTTCTATAAATATGCATGAGGAACTTAAAACAATTTATCATGGTCTCAAATATGCATGGGACATAGATTTCTAAAACATTGATTCATCCGCTTCGGTTCCACAACTTCATCCGCTTCGGTTTCGGCAACTTCCAAGTTCCACGTTTCCCGCTGCATCCACTTCTAGCCGTCCGGTCTTCGACTTTATATGTTTAACCATGTCTCTTAGACTTCATATGTTTAACCATGTCTGTCAAATATTAACGTTCATCCTCAATTCTAACTTTAATGAATCCTTCAACAAAACAAGAAAGACACAAAGAAAACTTAATAATAACATTAGAAGTCCCATAAATAATGTGCATATCTTTTTTATATACAAGTAACCTTTTATAATAGTTTAGTGAAAGAGGTAGCATAATTTTTTAATGGTGATTACCTTTGATTTTCGATTTTTATTTCCTATAAATTTGAGTATCTATTGGAATTTTTTTTGTTATAGGTTTATATATATATATATATATATATATATATATATAAGCATGTATATATGATTTAACTGACATACGGTTTAATTACTAAACCATGGATTAAACTATAGTATCATTATATCAGTATTTGACGGGTTTGTTTTAATAATACTGATCTTTTGCCACTAAAATAAAACACATGCCTTTCACTTTATTTATTAACCACGGAACAATACCTAAGAAGGGATAATCCAAGAAAATTTCATTTGCCCATTCGATAGTTATAATCTTTGGAATAGGCTTAATGATTCATATAAAATCAATGAAGGTACTTAAAATCAATCGATAGTTATGATATTTGGAATAGGCTTAATGATTCATATAAAATCAATGAAGGTACTTAATATCAATCGATAGTTATAATCTTTGGAATAGACTTCAAGATTCATATATTATAAGCGCAACTGAAGCTCACATTTTTTCTAAGACAATATAATATATGAATTTCAACACCTCTTAATGTACACACAATAAAAAAGACAGAGAATGCTAGAAACGACATCAAAATTTAATGATGCAGTGGAAAACAAAAACCATATAAAAGAAAAACAGTAACACATAAATAAAAGCATATAGACTAGAGATGTAGGGCCCTTCAAATGAAGGGTGCCTCCAAAAATAAGCGTATGCCGCTTAAAGTGACATGCACACGGTATTCTTTAGTAAAAGGCGAAAGAATAGTTCGCTTTGTGCTTAACACACGGCTCCGTGAGGATAACAATTCTATGCACTTCATTTTTATATTGAGAGTACACCCTTATTGTCACTGATGTCTACGATGTGGGCTTTGTAAAACACTCAAACGTTTGACAATATCATAGTAACCTAGCGTATTGTTTAGCAGTTTTGAGGTCCAATTACAGGACAAGTCTTACGAAGCATAGGCTGGTATTCAAAGAATAATTAATGAGTGTTTATGTGATAAAATTGTAATTACTGATAGTTAAATAGATCACAATCCTTCATTTCCTTAAGATCACTCATGTCACTCATTCAATAGTATTGACTAGTTAAACAGATCACATTCCTTCATTAGGATGAATGAGTAATTATATAATTATATTTTCACAGTGTGGAAAACAATTTTCAATGGTATCACAAGAAGCTAAGGGGTAGAAATTGTCAAACGTCTTCCAAAGAAGTGATCAAAGGTTCAAACTTATTGTTGTTTCTTTAATTCTCATCATACCTGCGAGGCTCTAAGTAACATAAATTTGGTCTGATAAGGGTTAGTTTAATGCCCAACTAATTAACGAAAATAACTTCAGTAGAGGTTTCTCAAAGGGGAATTGAGTATAATACTACCCAATATAATGCATATCACAATAGACTTGTATTGAACTAACTAATTTTGCATGATGAGTTCGTGCACTACATGTTATCCCACTTACTATTGTGACATGCTTGGTTAATGAAGGACTCCAAATTAAAATCTTATTGATGATTTCCAGTTCATTTAAGCAACCCAATACACTACTTATATATCATGTCTATCATCTCTTAATGTATTTATTTCATCACCACTATTCTAATGTATTTAAAAGTCTTTGAATTTGTATCCTTTATTGAAAGCACTTTGATAAGTTTGTAACTTATTAGGCACAAGAACTTGCTGACTTTTGACCAATCATTTGTTGAGATGACTGATAAGATGGACTTGCAATTAAGATATATGACCTTCCCTTTCCTACCCCAAGGTATTGAGCATATAGTAGTAACTCTGAATTACTCTGAGTTCAGTTTAAGGCATCTCTCTTGAGATTTTGATTTCATAATAGAATCTGTAAAAATGAGACTTGTATCTAAAAGAATAAAAACAAAAAGTCGAATTACTGTACATGACAAAACCAATAAACTGAACTGCGAGAACTGGTTCAGTATATAAATGAGAAAGCATTTACTTAGTGAACCAAACAATTTAAAAGAAATGCCAAGGTCAAATGATTATAAATTAAGAATACATGTTAAAGTTAATTAAAATAGAAACAATTAAGAAGTTCCCAATACTTGGTGTAAGATAATAAAATTTGTAAACTAATTTGGAGGAAATGATTATAAATTGAGAGTACAGGTTAAAGTTAATTAAAATAGAAACAATTAAGAAATTCCCGATACTCGTTCGTGTAAGATAATAAAATTTGTAATACTAATTTGGAGGGTGAGCCAGCCCAAGCTTTAGTGCAACGCTTGGGCGACACATGAAAGACCCAATAGCAAGCTACTGTGTTGGTCTCTCCCCTTTAAAAAAGTAATTTAATATCGTGTGGGCCAATGACCCACATATCAGATATTAAACTGATAAGAACAGATACTACACTTGATCTTAGCCAAAAGGCCGAGAAAGGTATGAGTTTTTCTTCTGTTGGGCTTATATTTTATAGTGCTTCTCCACCTCACTGCTTCTTAGTTTGCCCGATGTGGGACTACAAGTAATACATTGGTTACCCATTTTGGGAGAAGACAGGAGCACTGTGTTGAAAAGTTTTGAACGTTGAGAAATCCCTTTCAGGGCTAAGACAATTGACGACGTTGAAGGAATAGTAAAGTTATTCGCGGAAAATGAGACATACAAGAGTCGGAACATGGATTCTACTTTTCTGGCTATGCACAGATACTAGAACAGCATCTTCTTTGTGCGTAGAGCATTGTTAAACAAAGATGTAGGTGTAATGACTCAAATTTGATGTCTTTAGCTGGCTGTATAGGTATCCCTTTAACATATAACAGATGGTTCACTTGTGCATGTTGAAGTTTAAGATTCAGTTGAGTTAAGAAGCTAATAATGTATGCATTCATAGCTGCTGGAATATATAAGATTAGCATATGGACAGGGAAGAAATAGAAGATTGTTCCAACAACAAAAGCAGGAGAATATGGGAAGTGCCACAGAAGAATTTCAAGATTGTTTTTTTGCATGTCAATAAATTAGTGCATGATGATTTTGGATATGATAATAAGTCTTCAATCAATGATTGATTTGGTTAGAAACTTGTCAAATAAAAACTTTTCCAAATGTCATATTTTGCTTGCTGTGGAGATTAAATTGTTTGGAAGCTCTTGCTCTTGTGCAACGTTACAAGTCTGCTTTTCATAAATATGAAAGTATAATTTTTGTCATTTATTAAGGTGTGAATAGAAATTGCTGCCCTTCTCTTCCTTCTACCTACGTGTACCTTATTTATTTAGATAAATTTAGCTAATAAATCATCCCATTTGAAAATATAATTATTTTTTATCTACTTTGTTTACATTAATACATCTGATTCGAATATTATATACGATTGTAGATCAGTTTGAATCATTCTTTTATTTAAAAGAATTGACATTCAACATACTTTCAAAACTCATAAATATGACTAAAATATTAAGTCTAATAAATTTTAAAATAACAATCTCACATCTAATCATATTAATATTGTCACAATACTATGTTTACATCTACTATAAAAACATAATGTCTCTAGCCTACAACTTTGCTTCTAGCATCATGTTAATATAACAAACAACTATCACATAAATTTTAAAAATTACTATATCAATGATCACAATATAATTAGATATATATTGTATTATATTATTAATAATAAGATGTTGAATGGTTGGGATTGATTTCTTACTCTAGTGCATTGAATAATATATGCAATTTGATTTGCATTTATCTAGTTTCTAGAGTGGGAACCAATCAAGTAGTTTTTAAAAAATCAATCTAATACAATCCAATTATATTCATTTTTTATGATTTAATTTTATTTTAAACTAGTTTTCTGTTTTATATTGGGACAGATCTACATTTAATCACCCCTACTTCTACCTCTATTAACTAGATCAGCATAATATTTGTTAGTGCTTGTAATGACATCATCCTCAAAGTTAACACAATTAATTAAGTTACTTGTCATGAAGTGCCTCCAACGAGCCCACAGCCCACATTGGAACAAAAAAAAGTGATGACAACTAACACATTCCCTTCAGAAATTGTAAATAGTTTTCACACTCGAGAAAAACCCCAACTTATTTATGCAAAGTTGAAAACCAAAAAAATGAGAGAAAAGGTAAACGAGTTATAAAATACTTGGACCTATGTTACTCAGCAGTACAGGAAGAAAAACTATTTGTCTACATTGTTGGAGCATGGAATATACAAACATAAAATCTATCAGCTGTTTTAAAAAAAAGTACTTTTCCTTTCACCTATATAAATCCTACAAAGGGTCAGCTAACTTTGTTGTTTGCTGCTTTTCTTGCCTTTCTTTTGCTTTTGCTTCAATTGAGTAAGGCCAGCTGCTGTTATCTTAACATTACCAATAATTGAAGCCATAAGTTCAGGATCTGTACATGCTTTCATCAACTCCTTCTCCCGGTTTGTTGCTTCCGACGTGTGGCTGAACAAATTCATTGCCATTTTTGCAGCTACACAACAAAAAAGGGGGAATAAATTATGGCAACATCCTGAAACAAAATATTTCGAAGCATAGATTTCATGGCGCTAGGGGAGGGAGAAAGTATCCTGGACTCCAAGAAATGACATAATAGGCATGCATAAGGAAGTGATAGATAAATAGAACAGCAGGAAGAAAATATTTTGCAAGATTTCCTTGGAAGTTGGCAATGTAAAATTGAATAATGATAATAATAGAGAAATAAAAAATAGAACCTTTCCCTTTCTTGGCCGTTCCGGGAATTATCTTGACCCGATATTTGTAAGACTGAACTGCAGCATAAGGACCACAGACAGGAACAGCATATAAGAGAATGTCATTAGGGAGTGGATTCCCTGTCAAGTAATCCACATCAGTTAGTTTCTCTTTCTCTTCTTCTCCTATTTCATGAATATCATCTTCTTCCATTGCCACCCTATCAGATTGGGAAGTGTTGATAGGGTTTTCTTCACTTTCACCAATTGCGTCATGACTATCATTTGGTTGCTCTTTACAGTCACGAGATAAGTGACCTACCTTCTTGCACTTGTAACATATTTTTGGAGCTTCTGAAGGACCTGCCACAGTCAACATTTTAATTAATAAGATAAAAAAGATAAGGAATTAAACAACTTAAGCAATTGGCACATCAATATGTTTTCTCTCTAATGTACAGAGGTTAAAATCTCACTGATCAGCTAATTGATTTAACGTGACACAAGAAACATGGCCACAACTAAACAAGAGGGAAGCAAACAGACCTGCCTATCGACTAAACTTGTTAAATACAGATAATTCTAGAAAATATATCACACGATAGGGCTGAGATACAACACATCAAATTAATATAATATGAACACAAATTCCTAAATTAGAATAATGGCATCCATTTTTTCTCAAACTGTGAACACAACAACATAAAAACATCATTTATCTAGTTATTGTGCCATTCACATTGATACAAAAGTTCGTAAAATGATTGAAAGATATCCGAGAAATGCCCATTAACTCGCTGGACAACCTATTTGGTTCATAAACTCGCTGGTGAAGTAACATATATGTATACAATAAAAATATATTTAAAAAAATAATATATATTGTCATAAACAAAGTAGTATATTGTACTAATTAATGAAATACTGGTGATGAAACTTTGGAAAGGCTTACCACTGCCAGGTTTTTTCCCTTTGTCTGATGCTTCATTTCCATCTGGTATCTCTTCCTTCTTGTTTGATTTACCAGAAGACTTCAAACAAAAAGATATCAGCTTTATAGTTAAATGATGTTG